CTGTGTCGCATTTAATATGTGGTTTAAATTTCGTAATATGTAATGCTTCTCTATAGTCATGGTCAAAAGAAGTATTAGCAGTTGTAAGGACTTCTATTTGTAAAGGGCAGTCACATGCTGGTCTGCCATATTTTTCTAGTCGGTGATCCGTTATGGCATTACTATCTTTGTTGAATTAATTTAAGGATCGTACGTGTTCAACATGTCTATCGTATGATGCACGAAATGTTCCATGTTTTTATAGACGGTGATCCGTTATGGCATTACTGTCTTTGTTGAATTAATTTAAGGATCGTACGTGTTCAACAAGTCTATCGTATGATGCACGAGATGTTCCATGTTTTTATAGACGGTGATCCGTTATGGCATTACTGTCTTTGTTGAATTAATTTAAGGATCGTACGTGTTCAACAAGTGTATCGTATGATGCACGAGATGTTCCATGTTTTTATAGGTCGGTGATCCGTTATGGCATTACTGTCTTTGTTGAATTAATTTAAGGATCGTACGTGTTCAACAAGGCTATCGTATGATGCACGAGATGTTCCATGTTTTTATAGACGGTGATCCGTTATGGCATTACTGTCTTTGTTGAATTAATTTAAGGATCGTACGTGTTCAACAAGTCTATCGTCTGATACACGAGATGTTTCTACAATGTAAAATGCATTGCATATTCTACAAGTTACTGGTCTTTAGCGAAATATTATCTGGATGGTGTGTAGAACGTACTAATATATGTCTTAAAATTCTGCCTGATTTGTGTGCAAGTCTTATTTGTAGCTCTGATCTTCTTGTCACTGACTGTAAGTAGTTTTTAAGTCAGTCAATAATGTATGTGTGATAGTCGAAGTTGCAGAGTTACGTGTGACATCCTGTTTGCATGTAATAAAAATTCCACTTCTTAATTTTCTTTGAAGCATTTTTGAATGAACTACATATAAAACTGATTACCATATATAAAATTATCTGATTAACCATTCAGTTCGAACGTGTGTTGTAGATTTGCCAGTCTCTTGAGTTTGCTTTCTTTAGAATTCTAAATTCTGTTGATCTCCTTTACTTGTCCAACGATAGCTGCTTTTGTCCTATGATTGGGACGATTTGAATCATAATATAAAAAATGTGGTCCAAATGAAGGCTTTTTGTGTTTGTTATAAGTTCACTTTGCGAATAATCAAGAAAACTTCTAGGAAGCTGAATTGGCCATTTCTTGCCGAGTACTCTAGAATCTATAGTATAACTATTTGTTTTACAGTTTATGTAAATTGGAAGGTCAATGCTCGCCCTTTTCAGCAAGTTTTAAAAAATTACCAATACGCAATCTTACCTTCATGCCTCCGTTAAAAACCTGTGAACTGGAAATCTATAAACGAAAGACGCAAAATTTAACAGTTAATTTTAGCAAAATTTAACGAACTGAATTACCATAATCACAAAAAAAGTGAATACTCTAAGCTGAACAAATTAATTTAAAATACTTAGTTTGAAATGTTATTTAAAATTACTTGACTTTTAAAATCGAAATAGCTCTTAATATTCGTATAATTCTTTGAAGAAATCAAAGAGACATATGAGACAACGAATGAAAACAAAAGTAGATAAATTATTGACACCAAAGAACCTACTTATAGCCAATCTCTCAAACATTAACGAACTACTTACTACAACCCCACAATCTCAGTAATGTATAAATATTACCTTATATTCTCTACCTACTTTTAATGTTATTTTCATCATCATTACTAGAATCATGAAATTAAAAAAAAAATTACCCATTCATCTACTTTTCATATCACTGAGGTAATACAGTTATGGCAGTTTTTACAAAACTCATCATTTTAATGGTAAAACGTTTCAGTTGTGGTTACTATTTTGAATTTTAATAGTAGTTAGCACAAAGTTAAAATGTATGGAACTTTTAAACTAGGATAAAAATCATTTACAGAGGCTTTGACAAAACAATCTAATTTTAATTCTTAATCACTTCTAATGGCCCAGTGGTAAGCTTAAGGGCTTATAACGCTAAGATGTTTGTTTGTTTTTTGAATTTCGCGCAAAGCTACACGAGGGCTATTTAGTTTAGCAGTGTAAGACCAGAGGGAAGGCAGCTAGTCATCACCACCTACCGCCAACTCTTGGGCTACTCTTTTACCAACGAATAATGGGATTGATCGGTACATTATGACGCCCCCACGGCTGAAAGGGCGAGCATGTTTGGTGTGACGGGAATTCGAACTCGCGACCCTCAGATTGCGAGTCGAGCGCCTTAACCACCTGGCCATGCCGGGCCTACAACGCTAAAATTCAGGACTTTCTATTCCTGAAATTAGTGTAGCACAGATAGCCCATTGTGTAGTTTTGTGTTTAACAGCAAAGATATCATTTTTAATCCTTTCTGAATAAATAATGGAGCTGTTTAGAAGACAATAGCCTATAAATAATCACTAAACGACATCCGTCTCGAGATGATTTAATTTTATTGTTCAATCTTATAATTTCATAAAAAGTAACGTGGAGCTTTTTTGTGTAGTTTCACTTATATTCCTCAGATTATCAGAGTTTAGGAAGACACAGCGTAAAAAAGCGCAATTAGAAATTACCTTTAACATCTTTGACATGTAAATACCACGAGGTAGCATTCGCATATTGAGCAACGTCGTTAAAATCTGTAAGTTAATGTTTAGTAAACCAAGAAAATTGGCAAGTACTTTACCAGTTTGGGTGAAACCTGGCTTCTGTCTGTGGCGATAACAGGAAGGATATCTGTTCGTTTTCTCCACAGATAGTTCACAATGATGAATTCCAGAAGAGCGGCAAAAACAAACGTAGTGCACGCACCCATCCAGACGTCCATAGCCTTGACGTAGGAGACAGGTGGCAAGTTATTCTGGATCCCAGAACCCTTGGAGGAGATGGTTAACAAAGTTGTTACCCCTAGAGTGATTCGGGCAGGTATGGCCTCTACGTTGAGCCAAAATGATACCCAGGAAATGACAACAATCAGGATTGTGGGTAGGTACGACTGTACTAAATGATATCCAATAGACCTTTGCAGATAAAACTCGGCTTTCAAGCAGCTGTATTCGCCTACAGATTGATAATATCATATGAATTCAGATTTATAAAACTTGTGATATTTAAATCTTTATTTATTTTTAACATGTCAAACATATAACAGCACATGGATAGTGTTTAGTTTTAGAGTAACATTACAATAACATGATTATTTTTGTAGAAGATGGTTGAATTTGCACGATGTTTATTAATAATTGGTTTACCTTTGATGATTCTGTAAATATTTTCCTGTTGAAAATTTATTTTGAAATCGTCTTTATATCATTATAAAATGATATCATTTTACAAGTACACGATGATGACAAAACCTTGTCGAAACGTTGTACATTTGCTGTTATGTTAAACTTATATTAAAGTTTTTCTTTATTACCCATTCAAGCCGTCTCCAACCATTATTAGTCTCAAAGTGGATTCCTCGTCATCGAATTTGAATTACAAGTACTTTATTTGAAAATAATTAAGTGAACTTGTACATAAGTCATTACCAGATAGAGCATTGCAAACAAATATGTTATGAACGTGATATTAATGATATTACATTTAAACAATGATACAAAAACATTACCATTAATGTAGGCGAATTTTAATAAAACGACTAACTTTCAATCAGAAAGTCGCTGTGAGTTAATTTCTTAAGTTTAAGAATTGAAACAGTTGTATTAGGGGTGATAGTCTTAACGAAAGATAGAAAAATACAAGTAATAATTTCTAACTAGAGCTGCTTAGCTTTAGATTTACCAATACTGGAAATAAGAATTTATTAAGTTTGTTCATTATAATAATTTAAATGAAGCGAAAATTATAGTAAGAATAGACAAAAAAAGAAAAGAAAAAAAAACGGGTTGTACAGATACAGCCTATTTCCTGAGAAGGATATTAAGAAACGTGATTCGAATAATATGTTCAAATTATTCTTAGAAAGGTCAAATATTTTTTGTTTTCATTAGTAAAGTAAAAACAATTTTTTGTGAGGAAAAATATGGTTAGTTATTTTTAAGGTATTTATTTAACGTCCTTTGATTTTGATATCTAGATCAGGCTTCAAAAAGCTGAAAATTGAAATTAATTTTTTCTTTCTTCAACAACGAAACTGTTATAAGAGGGCGGAAAAACATATGACATCAAACTGCTATTATATGAGGGCGGAAAAACATATGACATCAAACTGTTATTATAAGAGGGCGGAAAAATATATGACATCAAACTGCTATTATAAGAGGGCGGAAAAACATATGACATCAAACTGTTATTATAAGAGGGCGGAAAAACATATGACATCAAACTGTTATTATAAGAGGGCGGAAAAACATATGACATCAAACTGCTATTATAAGAGGGCGGAAAAACATATGACATCAACCACTCCTCGCAACTCCTGCGGCGGGGGGTCGATCAACTGGATGCTATCAATAATTCTATTCAACGTAAGAAAACGAATCATTGAAGTCTAGTTACTATCACCAGTTATAGGCCAACGTCTGCATATACTATACATGCACTTAAACGTCAACCTTAACCCTGTTTCTATTGTAATGTCAGACGTCAATGATGACAGTTTTATAAAGTTAAGAAGGCGGCACTTTAAGTAACGCTAGCTTGATGTTCAAGTTTTTAAATACTAAGGTCATTATTATTGATTTTGTAGTAGCTTAATACTACTTATTATTGGGTTTTTGTACAGGAAATAAGTAAACTTAAAATAATGAGAAATAATAATATGCTTTTAATTACCAATATGGAATATCTCATTGCACACTGATGTATTCATGTGGGTTATTTTAAACTGGGGTAGCTTGAGATTTTCATAGAGGTTAAGAGGATTCTTCGTGGACCAAGTCAAGTTTAGTTCCTTGGTTGTCTTGGAGACTGAAATATCATAAAACAAATTTCGTTACAAACTGGGTAGTTAAGTA